GAAAACAGTGAGCTACCTTAGAAGAACTGAATCTTGCAGCTGACCAGTAGACTTGTGAGCCAGACCATCTTCCCCTGTGCTTCCTGGAGTGCTGAGCTGGAGCCAGGGAAGTTCTCAGAAGCATTTACCAGAGAAGACGCCACGGTAAAAAGTTCTGCTATTAAGGAAAATCAGGCATAACTGATTTTTGTCCTAGCTTACAGCCCAACATCGCCACATTGCTCTCGTGTTTATCTTCTTTCATGTGATGTCCATATTTTTATTTTGTCATTTAATAATTGGCATAGAATTGGGATTTTCAATGTATACAGTGAAAACAATTGAACTTCAGAGACATTTAAGTGATCAAATGCCCAGTACCTATCCAGGCACGTACTGGGAGTACTTGGAGTAACTTGGAGTCTGCGGCTCATTCCGTGATTTGTATCACCAACTTCTCCAGAACAATGAAACTAGAAGTTTCTTTCAAATGTAAAGATACTCAAAAACGAGTTAACAATCAGAAACTCACTACTTTAAAACACTGTGTGACAGGTTCCAGGAGGATCCCAAGTTTGAAGAACCATAGTTTGCTCAGTTCTTCCTCTGTTGATGGACATTGACTTCCACCCCTTTGCCTTTGCTGTTTCAGCGAACTCAAATACCATTGACACAGAGCCCGTGAAAAACCAGTCCTAATGGATGTGACTGTAAACACCCACACTTGGTGTTTGATAGACACAGAGGTGCATGGCATTAATTAAATGTTCCTTAGATGTGACTTTTATACTTGAACGATACAGTATTCCCCTAGCTTACATTCCGAGATGCAGGCTTTGCCAGGTCAAAGGATGTTTTGAATTGGAAACACATTGAATGAGTATCCTTATGCTTCAGACTAGAAACCAGCCAGCATCATGCTGCTTCTCCCAGCGCCTCAGTCTTTCACCTCTGTGCTTGTGATTTTGTGTAGACATCAGTAACCTTAGTACTTGGATATTGGCTTTGCTGCCCATCTTATCAAAAAGCAGACAGGTGACCTTAAAGGGACACAGATGCTTGAAGCAAAATATGCCCTTTTAGCAATAAAGCAGTTGACCCATTTGCTGCTACCCTCTGCGTTCTGCCTTATATTAGGATCTTTGCGTTGTTACAAACTGAATGTATAAACGCCCAACATCCATGCACTGGAAGCCTTCCCCTCACTGCAGGGACATTTGGAAGGTAATTAGGACTAGACAAGGCTGTGAGGGTTCGGTCCTTGTGATGAGATTAGTGACAGGAAGTGATGCCAGAAGGCTTGTGCTTTCTGTCTCACTCAGCTAATATAAAAAGACACAAGTACACAGCCAAGACTGTTCAAATGAGGTCTCAGAATGAAAGCCGCTTGATTGCACTTTGATTTTGAACTCTCAGCCTCCCAAACTCTGAGAATGAAATTGCTGTTGTTTATGAACCACTCAGCCTGTGGCATTTTGGTTCGGCAGCCTGAGCGGACTAAAGCATATTGAAAGATTACATTAAAAGAGGGGAAAAAAAAAAAAAAACCCAGAAACTGGCATGCATAGTAAACGTTAAGGCAGTAGTGCACTTCCAGGATAACCTGAGTGGCTCCCGCAGGCCCCTGACCACAGTTGGTGTAGGGGAGAGTATCTTGATTAAAAGCAGAGGGGCCAAATGACCCTGCTTGACAAACAAGCTGGGGAACGCCAAGGGCGAGGCATACAAAAAGCAGTTTTGGTCTCCACTGCAGTTCAGTCTTGGTGCTCTGCTTTGGCTTTCAAGTGGACAGAAAGGAAAGCTGTGGACACTGTAGCCAGGCTGCAGGCTGAATAAATACCTCCAGCAAAGGGTTCAGTAGAATTATGTCTGGCCAGAGCTTTGTACTTGTTCTCTCCCACATGACAAACATGTTATGCTAAGAATATGCATGGGTCACGCTCCAGTTTTTCACTGCTCATTCATGAAGTCTGGCCTTTGTTGTGTTTGAAGAAGCCAGGAGTGTCCTGTGATCCTGCATGAGATGGTCTGGCCGGCCTTCCGTGGTTAGGAGGCACTCTCCAGGCAATGCAGAAGCTGCTTCTGCATTGGAATTAGACACTTGCCAGACACGAAGTACATCTGGCCTTTAAGACGGGAAGACCACTCTGGGCTAAGGATAGAGGATTCCACGTCGACTTCAGCCTGGGCTGACTTAGCAAGATTCTCGCAAAGAAAACCAGCAGGGTGGATGGAGATCAAGCTCAGCGTGAAGGCCCTAGTTCCGATAAATGTGCCTTTTTGGTACCAAACTTGGAGGCGAAGAAGAATCTGCTGTTTTCCACAAACCTAAGCATTTGGTCATGAGGAATGAAAACAAAGCTGCCCCTGAAACAAGCATCTCTCTTGGGCTGTCAAAACACGCCAGTGACAACTGATGCAGGCCTATGTCAACAGCTTTATTTGGTGTGGGACAGATAGGAAAAAAAAGCCCAGGAAGAGATGGGTGGGGTTTGAGTCTTGGGCAAGACATAAACAGGGACAATTTGAGGTGACTCAGTTAGATGAAGCAAGATAAGCCAGACAGAGAGGCGCCCCATAAACAGATTTTCTGCAGGAAAATCAGTGAAGAGGACTTGAGGAATCCACACAGGGCACACCTGGCCTGGAGGCCCTGGGCTGGGCTTTGTATCGGGGCATGATGGAAATCCCTTTTTGATCTTCAAGATACATACACATCTTTCTATGGGTACATAATTAATATGGCCAAAATGATCCATGTAGTATGTCCTGTGAATAATATTCCCCATTCACCATGCCACCCATCTGGTTCCCATGTGGCAGAGGGGTCCTGCAAACTAGAATCCTGCCAAACCACTCCATAGCTCAGTTTAGGTGCACAGGTAGATGACTCAGCCTTGCAGGCACAGGCACAGAAGCAACCCACAGTGCCATCCTGGCCCACTGTCAATGATCCGAGGGCAGCACTGTGCATGTTAGAGGTCCTGACATTCCTTGAACACCTGCATTGGAAAAAATACAGTTTGTGCTGCAACCAAGGGGACCCTGATGTCATCACAAGAAAGAGCAAGGCCAGCAGATGTGTTAAGTGTGTGCATTCAAGAAGTCTGGCAGCCGGAGCTCTTAGTGACATCTTAGCTTTTCTTGTTTGTTTCTGCATGCCATATAGACAGGCGTGGAAAAGGAAGAAGAATTTTTGGCTTCATATAGCTCCCTCGTCTCATGTGGCTACAATTTTAAGAATTTAATATTCTATTCATGGCCCACATTCAATTCTCATTCTTTGTGTGCGTCTGTAAATATTCAAGTCTGTCCTACAGGTGTGCCCCACTTTAAGACAACAAGGATGCATGTTGCGCCTAAAGTTAATTTAGTAAAGCCTCATATTTACTGGAGGAGCTAAAGGAGGAGCCATCAGAGGATTTTTTAAACAGCAAAGCTTTCGGTATGCTTTCTTAAAAGTTTCTAAGTAGGGGGCTAGGGATTTAGCTCAGCGGCATAAGCGCCTGCCTTGCAAGCAGGCAGTCGTGAGTTCGATCCCTGGTACCGATAAAAACGAAAAAGACAAAAAAAAAAAAAAAAAAAAGTTTCTAAGTAGGCTTGAGGAAAATGTCTATGAAGAGGTAAGTGTGCACCCCAATTCCACGTGGTTGTATGTAGCCTCTTAAAGAGAATCAGGGCTCTACTCAGAGCCAAAAGAGCCAAGGTCATATTTTATAAATGAAGCTTCTTGGACTAGTTCAAGGAACTGAGTAAGAAGACAGGATGGGCGCAGACCAGGTTCCTTGTTGCTGGTCATCATCAGGAAGACAAGATGAGTGCAGACCAAGTTCCCCAGTGCTGGTCATTGTCACCAGGACAGAACTGGGTGATGTGGATGTGGTGAGCGGCTCAGGGATGCGGATGGGGATGCTGCATGAGGCAGGTGCTAATGAGCGATGGTGGAAAGTGTGTGAAACAACCCCTGGAAGGGGCTCCCTGCACTTCCTTCCTGTCCTTGGGACTTGGTTTTGTAGCACCCAAGCCCCTTGCACATCCTTCCCTCTACCATAGCACGAGCTCTTGTGCTGACATGCAATCATAGACGCAGGTTCGGTTGGGGTTTTCTCGTAAGGCCTGGAAATGTTTGGGGAAGCACTTCCTACCAGGGAAGATCCCATCTGTTTAAGCTTGGCTCATGCAGTACTTCTAAAGAGTCATCTTTGAGTTGCTGCAGCCCTTAAGCTGGAATCAGTTTCCCCTCTTCCCAGGTCCCATGGTGTAGTTACCATTTTCCTATGCCGCAACACTTGGAGAGATCTTGAACTGCGGTTCTGTGACGCCCATATCTTCCCTCTCCTGGAAGAACTCCCTGGACATCACCTCCCCGTGCCAATCACATTAGGTAATAAGCATAAGGCACATCCTCCTCACAGGATAAATCGAGTACTAGACTTGCCCTTGCAAAGAACAGTCAGCTTGTACCATCTCAAATAGCAAATCCAGGGCAGGGTGCATTGTTGCAATGACATGAATGTGAATTAGGGCAGTGTTCTTTTGGTTCAGCAGGGGGTATGCACACCTAGGAAGCCTTTTAGAGACCTTAATTAGCAACACCTATAATAATATTTGCCGTTCCATACACAACGACATCTCCACATACAGTAAAAGGGTGCTCTTTAGTATCAAGCAGCTGGGGATTTAAGCAGCCATTGTCCCACTGACTTCCCAATGATGGTGCCTATGGCCCCCGTGAAGTTCACCAGTACATGCATGGGATCAAATTATGACAAAATTAAGAATTGTAGAGCTTGCCACTTGCTTTTGTCCCCTCTTTCCAACTCCAGCTCAATGAAAGAGAAAAGATCCAGGTTAAAAAAACAATACAAAGCCTGGTGTAGTGGTGCATGCCTGTAATCCTGGCACTCAGGAGGCCAAGGCAGGAGGATCATTGCAAGTTTGAGACCAGCCTGGGCTACAAAACAAACTCAAGGCCAGTGAGAACCTGTCTCGAAAAGACAAAAATCTCAAGGACACAATGCTGGTCTTCAAAGCATTTAATAAGAAATCACACTGAAGTAAAAATTATTTTATTTTTAAAAGAATAAAGTTGCATACAGTGTGTAAGCAAGGCAGCTGAAGGCTTCCAGAACAGAAAGTGAGAATATATGGCTGCGAAATGCCACATGCATTGATTATACCTGGGAGGTGCGAGCTGTCTTTGGGCAAGGAAATTCCACGTTTCCGTGAACGACTGGCTAAGTTGTGGAGTGATTTCAACTACTGCTGTTTAAGAGTTTGGAAATCAAGGACTTTTCTATTTGGGCCCCCTACCCTCCCTGTGTATTCTGTCATGGCGCAGTTCTGAGACAAACTGGCGTGAAACAACAGATGACCAGCATGAAGGTCACAGGATGGGCACCTCGACCCACATGTAGTCATGGGCTTGTGGAAGATGGAGACAGGGAAAGGGTGGCACTCTGCCTGGCTTCTGGAGGGGACACTAATCCTGAGGGCCTTGGGGTCAAGGGTGGCCAGGCCACAGAATTCAGGCTTATACTAGAGTCACACTGTGGAAAGCTTGACTTTGAAACTTCATTTCTAAGCTCTAGAGTAAGAGGGGCTTTGGACCAAGACTGAAGCCAAACCAGCAGGGGGCAGCCTTCCCCCAGAGAGAAAATCCCCAGGTTTTGGAAGGAGAAGCAGACTCTGAAGGGACCTGCAGGGGTGCAAGCGTGCAAGGGCACACAGCTGAGCTGAGCAAGGTGCTCTACAGGACTGAGTGGAAGAGGCTGCAAAGGCAAAGTCTGGATCCGGCAATGACTTTTCATGCAGTTTCTGCCTGATTCTTGGCCACAGAACAGGTGCATTCAAAAACAAAGTGTGGCCTCACCAAGAGATGCTTCTTTCACCTGGTGCAGACCATGGAACCCTAGTTCATACGCATGAACTTCATCACTAACACTTCATCACTGTGTGCACAATTGGGGAAAATCACCAGACAAGCGCTCTACTGCAGATGTATATCCCCAGCCTTTGCAAAAAGTATTTAGTTCGAAGAGGGTCCCCTTAGGTTGCCCAGGCTGGACTTGAACTTGTGATGCTTCGGCCTCAACTTCCTGAGTAGCTGGAATTACTGGTGTGTGCCATTCTCCACATGTGGCTGCAAATTTATTCCTTTCATTCTCCTGTTGCTGTCATCTCCTGTTGCTATTATTTTATTTTTTGGACCAGAGATTGAACTCATGATCGTGAGCTTGCCAGACAGGTGCTTATGCCTACTGAGCTAAATCCCCAACCCTAAAGTACTTTAAAAAGTGACCAGTCATGACAAATTCTTTGGCATTCTGTTTCTAAAACATTTGTCCTTGATTCAAATTTTGTAAACACAGTTTTAAATACACCCAGACAGCTGATCAACCTTTCTATTGTGAGGACTTCAAAGGGCCAGCTGTAGAAACTTTATGTGAACTGTCACACCCACTGCTGTTTCGATGGTTGTAGCCCCACTTTTTAAAAGATAAAAGTGGAGAAAGCTGGTTCTTTTGGCTCAGAAAAATCAACTACAATCATTTGGTGTAAATAGTATCCAGTGTGGCCAGCTCTGGTTTGGCAGCTGAGACGGAACAGAAGTGTGGCTCATCCAACCAGCAACCAGGGCTCTGAAGAGGCCAGAACGCCTGTCAGCTAGCCTGGCCCCACCCCTCGCAATCATGGTGCTGCCCAGATGATAAGTTTCATACAAAAACTATCAGATACTGGGTCATTTGGATCCCTGTTTACCTATGATAAATGTGAGAAGAGTTTTAAGAAAATGGCGTGCTCTTCTAAAAATTATGCTTCTTGAGAAATCGGAGCACTAAGTCACATATGGAGAGAATCTTCCCAATCGTAAGGCCATGGAGGAAACTTGGACTCATGGGAAATGTGGATTTTGGTTTAAATGCAGGATGCAAAGTCTCAGACCTCAGGTTAAGGAGGCTGATTTTCCCCAAATGTGCACACAGTGATGAAGTGTTAGAAACATGAAATACTGGTTTTGGAGGTGGGGACACTCTTCCTTGGAAAATATTAACTATATATTTAAGGTAACTTGTAAGAAAGTTGTTGACAGCTATGCTTTACTCTTCAGAATGGAGTGGGGTCTTGGGAAGGAACTGGCAGGTGTGTGCATGGTGGTCGCCCCCACCACACCCACATTTAAGGAAGACCACACTAGGTTTCATGCGTGTTTAATGGGTGTTGCTGTATTTTGCTGGCATGTTTTCCCAAGACAAGCTCTTCCAAGTTGATTTTGCATTAATGACTCAAAGTTGTCAGCAGATAAGAGGTGGGAAAGCAGAGAGGGAAGCAGAGGGAGCCTCTGGGTCTATGTGGTAGATGCGAAAACAGAATTCACAGAAGATGCCTGAGACATAGAGAATGCCAGGAGGCCTTCCTGGCACCAGGCAATGCTGGGGAGGCCCATCCCCTCTTGGTCAGGAACCTAAAGGATTAAGTGGGTCCCTTCCATTGATTCTCTTTCACAGGCAGATGCAGGGTCACATGAAAGCCTAAACGGCTGAAGACCTTGAGAGAACAGGAGTCTCAGTGAGTCCCACATGGGCCCACCAGTGTTGAGGTGGCAGAAGCCAGTCAGCTCGTGGGTCAGAAGGCTGGGGAACCTGCAAAATATGTGATCAAGGAAGAGCAGCTCCATTTCAACACGAACTTCTGAGGGCTAGGGAAACAGGCTCCTCACACAGGCTCACAGCTCTTCCCTGCCGTCCATCACCTCCTCGAAGGAAGTTTTCTTCTGAGTGTTCCTACCAACACACAGGTATGGTCTAATTCACTCAGGACATAAGGAAGTTGCCCCGTCCAACAAACAGAGCTGTATACAGTGCTACCCTTTCTCCCAACCAAAGCTGTAGTTCTGCAAATAAGACTCAGTGCTGGGCAGAGTGAGAGCTGAAAAGAAACACTCTCCCTTTACCTTACCCCAGTGGCCATCCCAGAGCCAGGCCACTCTTCCTGTGCACCCTGGACTAGTCCAAAGTCCGTGTAACAGAAGGGCGAAGGTGCGTGGCCTTGGAGAACTCAATGTGGGATTCAGCCTGGCTTCGACTATAGCATGGTGGCTACAGACTAATAGCAGCATTAGCTGCACAGCAGCATCACCTGTGTGATATCAACAAAACGAAGGATGACTTGAGTCTTCGTTTAAAGAAGAGTGAGTTGTCAGCCCTGTACACCTACGCTTTCTTGACTCTCACAGCCAGCAGGTGGTTTCTCACTACTGAGGCTCAGAGTAATCCCAAAAACTTGTGTAGCATCGGCACAAAGGTCGTAGCACAGATGCCAACAGATGTGTAAGTGACAAACTTGTAAGGCACTTCGATCTCCAGCCTCCGCCTGGCCTCCTTGTTCCTGGTCACCACCTTGAACCAGGAGAATAAGACTTGCAGCGAGAGATTTTGTACAAGTTGGCGAACCAAGAGGATCAACACAATTCCCACGGTAAATTTGGCGAGACCCAAAACCAGCTTGTCCGTGGTGAGGGGTGGAATGTTCTGAAGTACAGGCAGAGGCTCGGCGGGCTTGGATACGAGATGGAAGAAGTGGTTGATCCAGAATCCTATGATCATGCCAGTGCCGGCAGCCAGAATGGTGGTGGTGTCGGCCCTGGTTGGGCTGTAGTATTCAGACACTGGGTAATTGTAGCACAAGACAAAAGGCACAACGATGATGCACACAAGGAAGAGGGGGCTGGCAGAGTCCAGGCAGTCGATGAAGGTCCAGGCAGGGTAGGTGAGGGCAATGAGGAGCGCAGTGATCAGGACGCCGCCCAGCACATCCTGCAGGGACAGAAAAGTGGGAGCCAGTGAGTATTTCCTTGTTTCTACCTATTATTCTGAGTCAGATATTATAAATTTGATATTTGAAATAACATTGCTGGCCTTATTTTATTTTATAGGACATTTCAAGAAAGTATTATAGCATTGTAAAATTTTGAAAGGCGAATAGGAAAAAAATGCACGTAGTAAAACCATGTTATTGATTTTACAGTTTTTCCCTATTTCACATAAATTCCTGTGTTTCTTAATGAATGGCTACTCTCACGATTCATTCTTGTTTATTACATAGGTCTTATAAATATTTCCATAGTCTTCTCACAAGTCTTGTCATAGATTTTTGTTTTGTTTTGGGGGGGATTCTGGGGATCGAACTCATTGACCTCGTGCTTGCCATGCAGGCACTTGTGCCTCTGAGCTATATCCTCAGCTCTTGTCATAGCCTTCATAGAGGTGGCACTATCCTTTTAGGGCATGCCGGGTTGGAGGTGCAGGTTTTAGGAGGAGGCATATAAACGCAGCAAGCATGGCCTTGCTTCTTAGAGGAGATGTAATACCATGAATGGGTGGTGTGTAACTTGCAAGGTGGCGGGAGAAGTCCCTTTGGGTGTGGTAATGCCAACACTACCTTGCCAGGCTTGGCACTACACTTTATCTTCAGAATTAGGATTTCCAACAGTGTGCACACTCTTGCTGCTTCTCTCCCCTTGCTGGATAGGGCTCCAACCCCAGACCTTGCGTATGCTGGGCAAGTGCTGCAGCACTGCATTCCCAAGCCAGCCGTGTGCAGTCTCATTAAGCAGATGTACCATGCTTTGTTTAATTAATCCCAGGCTTTAGAATGTTTTAGAATGTGGTCTTTATTCCTCTTCCTCCCTTGCTTCACTGCTTAAAATATGTTTAACAAATCAATATTATGCATCTTCTTCCTTTAGCTTTCTTATAAAGTTTATTACAAGGCAAAGCCCTCACACCATTAATAGACCAATACCATTAAACCGGAGGATGAAGGGCTTGTTATAGAGCTCCATGTGGATGATTTTGAAGGTTTGCCACTGAAACATTTACAACATGTTCCCCCAATGCTTTGGAAAATCCGGAAAACACCAAAACCTAATAGACATGCGTTATAGAAAACTGAGAAGTATAATTAGAAACATAGATCGATAGTTCTATACCTAGAGTAAAAAATGCTAGCTATATTTGGTGTATTTTCTTCAATTGTCTCTGTCTCTGCCTCTGTCTGTGTGTGTCTATCTGTGTGTGTGTGTTTTCTTGTTCCTAATAATTTCATTTATTATTTCTTTTGCCTAGGTCTAATACAATGACATTTGACTTGAATAAAAAATGATGAGAATATGAGAATTAGAAATAATCATCAGGACAGCAGAAAAGTTCACAGATTAGTGGGCAACCACCCATTCTTCCAATAATCATGTGTAAGTGCCTGCTGTATGCCACATATCATACTACAGGATCCATCATGAGCTCGGTAAATATAACCTCCACCTGTGGAGTGACAGGTAGTCACTGTTTGGAAAAGGGAAGGATGCCAGGGAGTGAGTCTTCTTTGTCTCTTGGGATTAGAGACCCAGTGAACACAGGCAGAAAGCCCTTTACACGGAGACCGGAAGTCCAAAGCGCTTCATAAGCACTGCATCCTGGGAACAATGGGGAGCTCCCTCTGGGTAACAACACGGCTAGATCTTCACTCCCCGACTGAGGGAGGAAACTGGGTGGGAGAGGAGTGAGACAGTGTCTCAGGGGACATCCTGTGCCTCCTCACATTCTCCGTGAGGCCGCAGGGCTTCACCACCCAGCATCTACCTGCCACTCAGCAGTTTCCCTGTGGGAAGCCATGAGGCTCATGAAGTGCTGGGAAACTGTGGTGTTGGAACACATGGCCTGGCTAGGCCAATCAATGTACTTTGTCCTCTTGTCATAGTGAATAGTGCCGGATGGTCACATGACCTGGCTAGGCCAATCAGAATGAATTATACAGTTTTTCTTTAGAATTCTTGGAGAGCAATTTCTCCACTGTGCCCTGGGGACTTTAACCCTTTACTTAGCGGACATTTGACATTTAGCTTTCAATACATCTTACACTGTTCCATCCTGGTTCTTTCTTGACCTTAAATACTCTTGATTGTTGTTTCCTCCATATCTTGCTGCCTTTACATCCTAAACATGGGCATGTCCACATGGTCTGTCTTCCAGCCCTCTTGAAGAGGTTATGCAGATCATGGCTTCATCTCTCCATTCTCCATCAGTGTGACTCTCTCATGTCTGTATCTTTCTGAACTCTAGTTATGTATGTTTTTAGTTTAATACTACCCATCAGCTCTCCAAATTTACTTTTCTAAAGTAAAAATCAGCAAATTCACTCCCCCAAATAGCAAATGAGCAGTTTATAGAAAAGGAAATCTGTATGTCTCAAGTATTTAAAAATAACCCCACACTTACTCAGGAAATACAAAAATGAACCTATACAGAGGAACTTACAAGTTGTATTTCATAAAACGTGTGCCTGTATGTTTCTGTTAGTGGATGTTCTACTAATAACCACCCAGACTGGAAGCGAGTTCAGTGCCATCCAGTGGGTGAAGGCGTGTATCAGCTGTGTAGATGCGTGCAATGGAATCTTCTCAGCAATTAAAAGCAACAAACCACTGCTAGGTGCAAGAGCTGCAATGAAATCTCCAGGAAATCATGCTGAGAGGGAAAAACCAAGCTGCACAGTTCTAGGTGTATGACCTGTTCTAAAGACAACAACATGGAAATCGGGAGTTGATCCATGACTGAGAGTCTCAGGAGCCCGGGGTGGGACTATCAAGCGGGGCCCGAAGCCAGGTTGCTTTGCTGTTGCTGTTTGTGGAACTGGGGATTGCACCCAGGGCCTCTGCACTGAGCCACATCTCCAGGCCCCCTCTTTTCCTAAGATAGGGTCTCTCTTGTGATCCTCTCATTACTGTGCGTTGCCGTGAGGTCCCTGGTAGGTGATGCAACTGTGTTGATTACAGATTGTACATGAAAAAATCCATAGAATTATATACCAAAAGTAAAGTTCATTTTGCTGCTAATTAAAAATAAAATTAAAACCCAGGAGCATGGCATATGTCCAGAGTCCCTGCTACTTGGGAGGGTGAGCTAGGAGACTCACTTGAGTCTAAGAGTTTGAATCCAGCCTGGGCAACACAGTGACTGCTTCACTGTAAAAAAGTAATTAGACAGTCAATCAACCAACCAATCAATCAATCAAACACACATTTCTTACAAACTTTAAGACTTGGTGGTCACTTTTGCCTCCATTGAATAAATGAGTAGCATCACTGGAGTAGTGTTAGTAGGCTCTGGGCACATAAAGAAGGTCCCAGTCCACCCGCTGTCTCCACAACTTCCCACACAAACTCTGCCCAGAATCTACTCACCCATCCCTGCTGACAAAATGTTCATTAATCACAAGGTGAGGGGGTGTGGACTTGAAAGCAGCTTTAAAAATTACATGTTTATTTCTCCCTTGATCCAGCAAGTTTACTCTGGGACTTGACCCTGGAGATATGTAGCATGATCAAAATATATGGTGACTCTTTGAAGTTTTAAAACAATGTATCAGAGTAAGAAACACATTTCCATCAATCTCCTCAGAATACATTCTTCCTTTCGAACACACTTGTCTCATTGTTCTTGCCATTCTCTGCAGCAGTGCTGGAAGGAAGTCCTCTCTCCTGAAGCAGCATCCATGCTTCATAAAGCTGCCCAGGAAAGAGGACTTCAGAATGGCTTCACAAAGCGTCAGGAATGAGGGGAAAGTGTGTTCAGGGGGGAGGGGAGTATTGTGAAAACGATTAATGGCAGTGTAGCTTTTGTTGTAATACATTTAAAAATGTGCACATTCACCATATTTCTGAGCACCCCTTGTAGAACGCCATGTGTAAGCAGGATCAGAGTGGTTCATGAGCACGCGTGAGAATCACTTGGAAAACTCTGGAAATATTTTGTGGAGGAATTTCTGCCTGGATGGGTGTAAAATAGTACCTGCGGATGTTAAGAGGATTCATTGTATGTATGTCTGATGGTGGCAGCTCAGTCTTACTGGCCACAGAAGCCCAGTCTTCACAGTGACACTAATTGCTCCTCTCCCTAACCCCCAAACACCAGTCACTGTGTTCCGGACTCCGTGCTCTCAGTCTGCCATCACCCTGGATGCCCACTTTGCCTGCCAGCATCTAGATCCTCATTGGGACTCACACCTGCCATACCCCTCTCCCAAGGCTTTCACTGACCAGCTCCCCAATACCAAACCTTCTCAAACTATAGCATTCGTTGGACTCATCCTGAAAAACTGGAGAAATACAGATTCAATGTGCTGCCCCTGATGCTGATCCAAAGCATGGCCCAGCTAGGTGCATCTTAACACCCTAAGGTAATCTAGATGTAGCAAGTCTACACAGAAACCCAGCGCAACTACCCTATAGGCCGATTGTGGTTCTCAGCGATGAAGGGCTGCATTGTGGGATTTTTTTCACACAGTTTTTCTATTGGAACTTTCTACTCCACTCAAAATAGGTCTACTTGTTTTCCCAAGCATGAGTGGTTCAATTTCATCATCATCATTCTTTGGCATTGCTTTAGGATGAGCACAATTTAACCATCTCTGCCTGTCAAGGTCACCTCAGTTCCTCTCTAAGGCTCTGCTCAAAAGCTGCATCTTTCTAAAACATCTTCATATGCCCCCACAGTTAGAAATAATCTCCTTCTCTATCCTCATCTCCCCAAACTGAGTGTGAAGATATTCAATTAGTATCAACCAAGAAGCCTTTTCCTCTTGGTGCATGGTTCTTCAGAGCTGGTTATAATCTGCATTAGGCCAGCGTCTTGCTCATCTCTGCACTAATCCTCCGCCTCTCGTTCTCGTGCCTGATGTGGGCACGCATTCAGTTACATGGATTGAGGAAATGTCACACAGGTACCTTTCTCTTCTCTGGAACATCTGTGATATTTCG